TGTATGTTCGCCTCAGATAGATAGATAGATAGATAGATAGATACATACATACATACAGACAGACAGACAGACAGACAGACAGACAGACAGGATGATGATGGTGATGGTGATGGTGATAACAACAATAACAACCCCTTGTCATTATTTTGTTATGTTTACAGATGTGCTGGCAAAAATAATTTTCACTAGTGGCCCTTGATAAATCTAGTGCCTTAAGAAAAAAGATGGGGTTTGGAAGTGATCTGAAGTATTCTCATGAAGCTTTGCTAAAACTGCAAGATTGGGAGTTACGGCTATTGGAAACAGTGAAGAAATTTATGGCCATGAGAATAAAAAGTGACAAAGAATATGCATCCACTTTACAGAACCTTTGCAATCAGGTTGATAAAGAGAGTACCTCACAATTGGATTATGTTAGTAATGTATCAAAGGTAAGAAAATTGTTTGTAAATTTAAAGTGAGTAAACTTTTTAAATCTGATAATGATCTACAAATATATGAACGTTATGGTTAACACATAGAGTAAATTTAAGATTACAGTTGTAAGCATACAACTTATTGGTCTCTGTTGAATTCTGTAGACCTGAATAAACATAATTTGACTGTTTATCTTGATGTTAAACTGCTTAATGGTTTGGCATGTTTTCTGTATGGGGACTTGACTTGTTTTTTGTTTGAGAACTTCTTTGTGGATTTTTGAGATAAATCATTTTGCATATACTTCCCTTCTAATTTTTGGCCCAGTAATTTATGTTCCTATTCTATTGAATTAATTACAGATACTCCTTGGTTAACAACAACAATTGGGACTGGAATTTCCATTACTAAGTAATGCAATCATAAAGTGCGATATCATGTGACTGTGCCACTTACCAACAGCAATTCCAGCACTCCTGGTTGCTGTTGTTAAGCAAATCACTGCAGGTTGTTAAGCGAGGATGTCACATGTTCACCATCTGTGACCTCCTGCTGGGTTCTCCATTGACTTTGCTTGTCAGAAGCCAGCAAAGAAAGTTGCAAATATTGACCATGGGATGTTGCGATGTCATAATTGTGAGCTGGGTGCCAAGCACCCGGATTGCAATCACGTGGCGGTGGGGATGCTGAGAAAGCTGGAACTCTGAGGACTGGTCATAAGTACCATTCATTCAGTGCCATTGCAAGTTTGAATGGTTAATGAATGAGTGGTCGTTAACTGAGGACCACCTATATAGCTTATACAGGTGGGCCTAATTGTAATGGCATGAGCGGGGGAGGATTCTGGAATGGAAGTTCAAGGTTGTCAGGAGGGGGGAGAGACATTCCAGAGCAAGCACCTCCTCAGCCCGCAACAAGAGTGTGGGAAGACGAAGAAGATGAGGCTGGTCCCTCCCTAGAGTCTCACAGGGTT